GGATCCTATGGATCATTGAGTCCAGCCCTCGTCCCCCATCAAGGAGGCAGAGTGGGGGAACTGAATTCCCAACCTCTGGCTCTGCAGCCAGAAGCCTAACCCACTGAGAAAAACAAAACAAAACAAAGAAAAAAAACCCTGTCATGCCCATTTCCTTGTGCTTTATGTATTAGGTCTTGTAACTAGGCTTGGTCAAAGAAGATCTGGATTCCGGGTGATGTACCTCATGTTACATAGGAAACATAACGGCACATCACCTGGATGGCATACAATAGAAGTTCAAAATTCATTAAAATCATAAGTATCACTTATAAAGGAGAGACAGACTTGGGTGTCATCCACATATCCCAGAACTCCGGACAACCTCTCCCAGCGTTTTCATGTAGATGTTAAAAAGCATGGGTGAGAAAGCAGAACCCTGAGGAATGACACAGGCCATTGGCCAGGGCGTTGAGTAGGAGTCACTCAGCACCACCTTCTGAGTTCTCCCCTCCAAAAAGGACTGGAGCCACTATAACACAGTGCTTCTGAGTCCCATCCCAGAGAGATGGCTCAGAAGGTTACTACGATTGATGGTATCGAAAGCCACTGAGAGCTCCAGCAGAACCAACAGGGACACACACACCCTGTCCAGTTCCTGGCGTAAGTCATCCACCAAGGTGACCAAATGTGTCTCTGTCCCATAGCCAGGCCTGAAGCCTGATTGAAATAGGTCTAGATAATCTGCTTCCTCCAGGAATCCCTGGAGCTGAGAAGCCACCATATGCTCCAGTACCTTGCCCAGGAATGGGATGTTTGAAACTGGCCGGTAGTTATCCAGTAGACTGGAATCCAGGGAGGGCTTCTTCAATAGCGGTCTTATTACTGCCTCCTTTAAGCAAGCAGGGATCCTACCCTGCTGCAAGGAGCCATTTACCGCTCCCCGTACCCACTTGGCCATTCCTCCTCTGGCTGCTTTTATGAGCCAGGAAGGACAAGGGTCCAGCACACATGTGGTGGCATTCACCTCTTCAAGAATCCTGTCCACATCATCAGGCTGCACCAACTGAAAAGTATCCATTAAAACAGGACAAGCCGGGGCTGAAGTTACACCCACCGGGCTCTGTATCAATTACAGCATCCAAATCAGAGTGGATCCAAGCAACTTTATCTGTGAAGTGTTGTGCAAATTCCTCACAGGGAGTTGTAGAGTGGTCAATATTTTGTTCTGTTGGTGGGGCATGTACTAAGCCCCTGACCCCTCGAAACAATTCTGCTGGACGACTTTGTGCAGATGCAGTGGCAGCTGCAAAGAACCCTCTAATGATAAACACATTGGCTGATATCCTGTTACTTATATCATAATAAAATAACTTGTCCGTGTTTTGTTTTTCTCTTATCAAATCTTGGAACGTGTGTTACATTAGTTTTGATCATTCCAGTTAGCCTTCCTCTGCCCTTCTTTCACTGAAAGGGACAATATGCAGTTTGCTTAATCAACTGGTTATTAATAAGTAGGTTCTGCTCAGTTCATACGTTTTAAGTTTCTTAAAATATGTATCAGTTCATTCTTCAGTTAATTTCATCCCAGGACCTAACAGGCAAGATGCCAGCATGGTCTTCATGACACCTTCTAGTCTACTTCAGTTAAATCCAGGATATAACAAGGAGAAGGAAAAAGAAGGTAAGGTCTGTTCTTGTTGCTGTTTTTGTTTCCGTGTTCCTCTTTGTTCTGTTTCCGACTAAACACATTGTGTGTGTGTGTATTTTGCAGAAGAAAAATTAATAAGTGATCTTTCAGCCATGTCCACCCATGAAAGAATTAAAGCAATTCAGAAGATACTGAAACCTATGAAAGAGAAGCGCAAGATCAGGTAATAGCAAAATGTTTCCAGTCTGGTGATTATTAAGGCAAGTAAACAGGAAAACAAATACCTGTACAATTTAAAAGCATGCTGACCTGAACCCAGTTCCTATTTCCTAATAGAGTAGATCCACTGAAACAATGGAATATGTGTAAGTGTTGATTTGCCATTCAGCAATTGTCTGAACTGGTCTACTCTAGTTGGCACTAGCAACTGATTTAGGCTATTAGGTGAAATATAAATGCACATACTTTTATGAATTTAGCTTACCAGTAGTGATATTTTGCTTAAATGTCAGAAAAGCAAATAACCAAAAGAGAGAATGAACCAGTCTATAACTCCAAGTAATAAAAAGGATGGCCTGTTATAGAGGAAAGACAACTGTGTAATTACAAATGTGTAGTAAAAACATGTGGAAGTAAATAGTACGTATTCCTCATATCAGAATGTCATGCACTTCAAAGATGCTTCCAGACCTACTCGGGTCTCTCTATAGGCTGTTTAGGGTATGACACTATACTATGGTTTAGCTTTGGATCCTAGAGTTTACACAAGGCTTAGGCAATGCGTGGTGTCCCTCCTTGACGCTTATTCTCTGGCACAGCCATGAGAGGGAACTCAACAGCATCTGCATCTAGGTTTAAATGAATCCAAGTTCCCTCTTCAGTTCAAGCTGTCGGGTAGTGCAGACTCAGATTTAATCCAGTCCCTGCTTATGTTGGTTGTGAAATACTGCTAAACATAGTCCTGCAAAGTCATCTTTTCAAGCTCTGGTTTAAAAACAGAAATGGATATTTCTTGTAGCCATGTTGCAAATGGGGAGATGGGATGTGTGAACCAATGGGTTGTTTGTGTAAAGTTATGGAGACAAATCTGACATAAAAATGGCAACATCTAAACCAGTTTAAGAACACCTCAACCTCCCAGGGCTCCCTCTGTTCCTCATTTGAAAGTGCATGTTGTAGACAAAAAGAAGTGACAAAGAGAGGAGGGAGACAGATGAGGTAGATTTTTGTCTGCATCTTCCAGAGGGTATCAAAAGGGTTAAACGAAGGCCCACTACGGCTGAAATCTAGTAGAGAAGCACAACTAGAGTAGACCCATTGAATCAATACAATTTATGGAAGAGCTGACTCACCAAATCCCTTCTGATTTAGTTGGTGTTGTGACCAGATTTCAGCTTTCATCTATTAATAAGCAGCCTGTTTTTTTAAAAATTATGCTATATATAGAGAAATGTATAAATTCTGGCCAAAGAATCAGAATTTGGTTCAGGAAAGCCAGTTTGTGAGTCAACAGTTTTGCACCTCAAAGGTAGCTTATACCAGACAGCTACCTTTTTTGGCCATTCCAGGTGATGTACATAATCTGCACTCTCAAAGCACATTGTACATGTTAACCATGCTATTATCACTTTGAAATTTCATTTTGCGTTTCTATGTCCCTCTTCACTAAGTCTACAACCCACGATGGATACTTGTATAAGAGCCTGGGGCTAAATATTTCACTCTGTGTGTCTGAGGGGGGAGTTTATAGCCTCCCAAAAGCTCATAATGAAATAAATCTGATAGCCTTTAAGATGCCACATTATTCATGTTTATGTTTTTGTTTTTCTTATACATACTCAAACAGACTATCATAGCTACTCGTTCAAAACCTGCTATTTTTGATTTGTCTCAGGTCAGGTTGGTAGGGAAGCAAGCTGTCAGTGACATGCAGTGGTTTAAATAAACTAGAGTTCCTACAACAAACATGATTGTGGTTTGCAACTAGCCAACAAACCATGGCTTGTCTGCAGGGTTGGGTTCAGACCGAGGCATCCTCTAACTTTCAGCTCTACTGGGCAGGGTTCCGCCTCTCTCTCTCTCTCTCTCTCTCTCTCTCTCTCTCTCTCTTGTGACTTTGCTCCTCTGCACACAAGGTTCCGTTGCAATCAGAACCTAATGTGATCATTGTGCGGAAGGGGAAGACAAGTTGTGCAGAGGGAGGCAGAGCACAGCTTAAGAGGGAACCTTGGTTCAAACACAACATTGGGTTAGCATTCAACAAACAATCTGGTTTATTTCTATGTGTGAACCTAGCGTACCTGTATTTGTTGCAGGTTGCTCGGGAACTGGTTTTTGAGGGACAGTGTAAAACATGTTAAATCAATAAAGATGGAAAATGTGTTTATTTGCCTGTGTAATATGTATTTTTGCTCTGTGGAGGAAAGTGAGCTGGAAGAAAAGTTGTAACTGGATGCAGATTTTGAAGATCAAAAACATCTTGTAACGTGATGGAGACCTGGAATAAAAACAAAACAATTATATATATATACTTGTTTACACACTTGTTTACAGCAAGCCCAAGTTTTAGGAATATTTCCCCTACATAATTTACTATCTCCTCTCCAACAGGAATCATATTCTGATAGAGAAAACAAAAAAATCCCACAGCCGTAAAGCTGAAGTTAACTGTTGTACCCAGTGTTTCTACAACACAGCTTTGGTAAGTCTGGTCTGCCTTCATTGAGGGCGGGGGAATGGAAGCTATTGATGGGAATATAGCTGGAAAAAACAAGCCATAGTTCCAGGCTGGGGCATCAAGCCATGCAATAGTTTAAGCTCCAGTGTTCACAGATGAACAACAATTAAATTATAATTTTCCCCCATTTGCGACACATGCACACACAGGCCCTGCTTCATTCTGCCTTGTTGAGTGGCTGGCCCAGGCCTCTCGTTGTGAGGTGAAGGATTTGTTTTTCTCTCTGGGGCCTTCTAGTATCAAACTGAAATGGGCCATTCTGCACTCTGGGTCCTTATTAGGCTGTTTTAGCAGCTCATTCCCCCTCCCCACCCCACCCCATATCTGCTGATGCCCAGTGGTGATGGTGGTGTCATGCTGTTTTGAGTACATAAGTACTAGCCGCTGAAATATTTATTTATTTGATTATTTACTATGTGACTTTTTTCACTGGGAACCCAAGACAGCTTGCAACATTTAAAACTATACAATACTAATGAGTTTAAAATATGATACAAAAACTATATTTTAAAAAACCCAATTAAACATTAATGATCATGCACGGTCAAGTCAGTTCTGGTTTATGGCAACTCTTTTCAGGGTTTTCTAGTTAGAGAGTACTGAGAAGTGGTTGACCCTTTCCTTCTTCTGGAGATGCTCCTGGAACTGACTGTTTCAGCTGGCCCAAGGCCACCCAGGCTGGCTCTACTCACAGGAGGCCCAGTGAGGAATCAAACTCCCAACCTCTGACTCCACAGCCAGATATCTAATCCCTGAGCTCTCCAGCCAACTCAATGAAGTATTAGCCAATATTTTAAACCAGAATAAAAAACAATGTTAAAAACATTTTTAAAAGAACATTTAGAAAGATTTTAAAATATCTGCTTTTAATAAGTACAGTGTTCCCTAGACTCCCCACTTATTGCTTAAAAGCTTACCTGAAAAACAAAGTCTTTGTCTGACAATAGAAAGACGAGGTGGAGGGGGCCAGCCTAGCTTCTCAAGGCAGCATATTCCAAAGCCTGGGGGCAGCCACTGAGAAGGCCCTCTCTTGTATCCTCATCAAATGAGCCTCCCCGGGAGGTCTTAACAACTGAGAAGACTCACATGGGGTGATATGATCCTTCACATAGCCTGGACCCAAACTATATAGGGCTTTATAGTTAGCACCTAGGACTTTGAACTGGGCCTGGAAATAGACTGGCAGCCAATAAAGCTGTTGTAATAAAAGAGTTGCATGCTCCCTGTTAATCAGCGCCAGTCAGCAGGCTGGCTGCAGCATTTTAAACCAGCCGAAGTTTCTGAACACTCTTCAGTTGCAGCCCCACATTAAAGCACATTGCAGTAATCCAGATGAGATGTAAGTGAGATGTATGTCACCATAGCCAAATCAGACATATCAAGGAATCGTCGTAGCTGGTGCACCAGTTTTAGCTGTGCAAATGCACTCCTGGCCACCGCTAGGTCCCCTAGGCATCCTGGCTCAGAGCTGAATCCAACAGCACACGCAAGCTGCCAGCCTGACTTTTCAGAGAGAGTATAAACCCCATCCAGTACTGACAAGATCCCCTGATTTATTTCCTATTAACTATGTAAGGCTCTGCTGCAGGGCTAGTGAACTTTTGGACCTCCAGATGTTGGTGGACAGTAGTTCTCATCATCCTTAGCCATTGGCCAAGGTGCTGGTAGAAGCTTCTTGGAGTTGCACTCCAACAGCTTCTAGAGAGCTACAGGCTTACTAGCTGCACTCTAAAACGTCAGGATGAGCTGTTCTTTACATTATCAGCATAATTCTGTGCATGTCTATTCAGAAGTCAGCACCATTGTATTCAATGAGATTTATGTGTAGCCAAGCATGCATTGGATGGCAGCTAGTGTCTTTTCCATTAATGGAACAACCAGAATAATTTTTTTGAAGGCCAAAGTTGGATTGTGCATTGACCCAAGGCTCCTATTTTGTTTCGTTTTATGGTCTCATTCTTTTCCTTCTAGTCTTTGCGGAGGTTCAAAAATGGCTTGTGGGACTGCTTTCAGTTCTTTAAACTTTGGCAGAAGATTCTCAAAGACATTGGTGGCAAATTTGGGACCAGCGTCCGTTCCTACTTTGTTTTCTTGACGTGGCTGCTGATGTTCAACGTTTTCTCATTCCTTGTGAACTTCAGTTTCATTGCAATTCCTCAGCTCTTAGTAGCCAAATCAAATAGCCTCTCCTTCACAGGACTTGAATTTTTCACAGGAGCGGTAAGTGTGTTCAGAAGGGGAGGGGGACTGGATTTCATTCGTTCCTTCATTGTATGACTCTTGTGCTCTGCTGAGACTGACCTTCAGATTTTGGGTTATCTCAAGCAGGCATCTCAATTTCATGCAGGGGAGGCAAGTCCAAAGGAGGAGAAATAGGGCACATTTTAATGCATTTTATTTTGTTCTAGTGGGCGAAGGAAGCCAGCCCAAGGCATTAGTGCCTCTCTTTATTTATTTATTTATTTATTTATTTATTTATTTATTTATTTATTTATTTATTTATTTATTTATTTATTCATTCATTCATTCATTCATTCATTCATTCATTCATTCATTCA